CAGAATCTATGGACTCAAGCGTGGCAACAATAGTGAGGTTGTCCCAGGATCAGGCAGTGTTTCGTTCTGCTGTGCATAAGGTTGCTATGAGTCGGTAATGACTCGATGGCAGCTAAGAACAACAACTGCCTCATACTTCACATTGGCCAACAATCCCAAGATTGGCAGGCAATATGGCAGATTGCTGGTTCAAATGCAAAGAACCAAGGTCAGATGATGATGAGCCAGAGACAGGATCCAGATCAAGCAAAATGCCCAAAAGCATTGTCAGAACGTCCACAGATACTGGAAGCAGACCACACGTGCGACGAAATTCCCTGTCAACTGATTGCTGCTCAGAGCAGATCTCACCAGGGAGGTGAGCACATGATAGGCATCTTACAAGGAGGACGACTACATCAGAGTTGCCAAGCCAAGTTGATAAACACAAGCTTAACCATCACAATGGGTATGGGTTTGCTTGGCTTTGCTTGGGCTTTTTTTTTTGGCAGGGGTGGGGGTATGTGATGGAAACGTTCTGGGATGTTCTTTCTCTGTTTCTGGTAATGGTTACACAACACTGTGAATGTATTACAAAGCACTACAAAATGGTTAAAGTGGTGACGTTTTTGCAATGTAAATTTGGTCTCAGTAATAAAAGAAAGGATAACAGAATGGTTACAAGTCAGGCTGCTAGTCTCAGGGTCAGCAGTTTGAAACTACCAGCTGTTTCAATGCAGGAGAAAGATGAGGCTTTCTGCTCCTATAAAGATTTACAGCCTCAGAAACCCTAAACACGGTCGCTATGAGTCAGAACCAACTCCAGAGTCAACTCAATAAGAGAGAAGCCACCTTAACACAAGCCTGATAGCAGGATCTATAAAGATGAGTTGCTCAGGGGCTCTGAGCCCCCTTCCAGGGCCCTCCTCAGAAGGGATTTAGAGGGCAGAAAGGGGTTAAAAAGAGAGCTGGGCTCTGGAATGAGGGAGAAGGCAGTAACAGTAGGAGCAGGGGAACATCTAGGGCAGAACCTTAGGAGTCAAGGAATTTCCCACAGGGGAGTCCCCAAGGCTGGCGTGAGGGTCAGCTCTCACCAGACAGCCCAACCCAGGGAATCTCTACCTCAGACTCTGAACTTTCTCCAGAGGCTCAAAATTTTCTCCAGAGCCCTTGAGGAAAGAATGTCTTTGTTGTTCTTTGGGGTTCAAGGCTGGGGGGGATATACCTGTACTCACTTCAGGATGCAGCAGCCGTATCCATACTGAATGCCAAGGGAGAACCACCCCTTATATACTCACATACACACACACAAGGGTGTAAGTGGAGCCCAGGTAGCAGGAGACCCTCCAAGGCCCACAGCTCAGTGGGAAACACAGTATAATGGATACCTGACGCACCCTCAACACAGGAGAGATGCCAGAAGAAACACGAAGGTGATTACAATTTGGTAATTGTCCCTGAAGACTCCATGGCTGATTTGGGGGTGGCAGGTGCAGGAAAAACCTGGTTGTTGAAGGGCGTGGTGGCTGCTCATTTCAGCAGATAGACTGATACAGAGATGGGAAGGTCTCAGGCTGAGGGAACTTCCTCACAACCTCTTTACTGGATGCTAGCAGGCTCTGAGCAGCTGGACAAGCCTCCAAAGCCTTTCTCTATTGGCCAAAAAGTAGACCCAAGTAGTCTGTGCCTTAATCGCAATGATATGTTGATGGAGATGGACATACCCAGAATCGCTTCTCCACAGATTAGACTCACACCAGTTTCTGGTCTTAAAATAGTGTGCAGGTCACAGATTTCCTTCCCCATCACCCTGGGCCTTTCTCAGGAAGGACAAGAGGACCAGATTGGTTCATGGTAAGGCATCGTTCATAGCCCAGGGCAGTTTGAATGTTCTCATGGGCCTGGACTCCCCCTTAGCTGAGCTTGGACCCAGTCTTCCCAGCTGCCCACTGTGGTGGTAGGTGATATGAGCACCATCCGGATCACAGCTAGGGAGCTGGACTTTCCCGAAGGTGTCTCCCCAACAAGGGTGACTTATGGTCCTTTGATTCAGAACTGGCCTCAAATAAAGTCAACCAAGGGAGGGAGGTGTGCTATCTTCCCAGAGTGATGCAGAGGTGGACTGGCCTCACATGAAATCATCCGAGGTTCTGCCTGGTCCCCTGTCTCCCCCACTCTCGGACCTGTAAAAGCCGTCCACGGCTCTGAGTGCTGTGACTCCTCCTATGAGTGACACTTGGGAACAGCTGGAGCTTCAAAGGAGGCACTGTATTTGGGGACAATTGGTTTCCAGGCATTCCTTCACGCTGTGCCCAATCCTACCAGGGCCCAACACCAGGGTGTGGTCCACTCCCCACCAGATTCCACCAGGGGCCTTCTTGTCTGTTCTTGGCTGAAGGGGCTTCAAGTTCAACTATGAAGTTGGCCACAGGCCCAAGCCCAGCGCCATGTCACCGCCATTCCAGCGTTCACTCAGCAGAGTCGAGGTCTTGGCTCTGCAGGCTCTTGTGCTAGTCACCGAGGTGCAGGGACTCCCTGCCTCAGGGGACTCCCTGCAACTTGTCCAGTCAGCCCCTGACTCATGGCGGTCCAGTGCACAGTGGGGTTGTGATCCATAGGGTTTCACCAGATGATTTTCAGCAGTAGATTGCCAGACCTTTCTTCCTTGTCCATCTTAGTCTGAAAGTTCCACTGAAACTTGTTCAACATCTACTGCCAGATAGGTGATGGCTGGGAATCTTGATTCCCAGGTCTCCTACACAGACGGTGAGGATTCTGCAACTAAACCGCCACTGCCCCCAATATGTCAGTGTTGTTGTTATAAAGTGACATCGAGTCAGTTCCAACTCATAACGACCCTATGTAGGGTTTCCAAGGAGTAGCTGGTGGGTTTGAACTGCTGACCTTGTGGTTCACAGTCCAGAGCAACCACTTATGTACAATGTGCCAAGTTCAACGCTGATCCTACAGCGCCTCACCAGAAGTCCAATATGTCAGTGGTGGTGATATGTCATGCAGTCAGTTCCGGCTCATAGCGACCTAGCTTAGGGCTTCCAAAGGTTTCTGCTCCTGTAACGATTTCATTCCCTGAAATGAATCTCTCTGTAGAAATGGCTGGTAATTTTAAACTGCTATGCTAAGGAGCTCTGGTAGCGTAGTGGTTATGAATTGGGCTGCTAACCTTAAGGTCAGCGGTTCGAAACTACCAGCTGCTCCGTGGGAGAAAGATGAGGCTTTCTACTCCCGTAAAGATTTACACCCTCGGAAACCCTATACAGGGTCGCTATGGGTCGGAACTGACTCGATGGCACACAACAACAACAACAAATGCTGACCTTGGCGTTAGCAGCCTGACTCGTAACCACTACACTACAAAAGCTCCTTAACATGTCTGTTGTTGTTGTTGTTGTTAAGTGCCATCGAGTCGGTTCTGACCCATAGCGACCCTGTATAGGGTTTCTCAGGAGGAGCTGCCGAGCTTGAACCACTGACCTTGCAGTTCAAACAGCTTGTCAGTCTGGTGCATTAACCCACAGAGCCACACCAGGACTCCTAATATGTCAGTGACTGTGTGCCATGGAGTCAGTTCCGACTCTTAGCAACCCTGTACAGGGTTTCTGAGGCTGTAAATCTTTACGGGAGCAGAAAGCCTCATCATTCACCCGCGAAACAGCTGGTAGTTTCGAACTGCTGACCTTGCGGTTTGCAGCCCAATTTGTAACCATTATGCTACCAGAGCTCCTAATATGTCAATAGTTTCCCTTAATAACAGTGCTACAGTGAGAGCAACCACTTATGTAGAATGTGCCAAGTTCAATGCTGGGATCTTAATGTACACTCTCACCAATGCATATAACCATAGTTGTGAAGGTTTAGGTTGTATGTTAACTTGCCTGGCTATGAATGATTCTCAGTGGCTTAGCAGTTACAATGCAGCCATTCCCCAAGATGAGATGCTACAGAATGTAATCATCTTCATGACAAGACGAACTATGAGTAGTCAGGTGTGGACTTGAGCCAGGAATCCTTGTCTGCCCATCTTAGAAATCACCAGCAGCCTGCCATTCGACCTCCCGGTGTTGGTGTATCAGCCCCTGCAGCTACGTGTGTCAGGAGCAGCCTCTAGCCTGCCATCTAATCCACTACTTGGAACTTGGCTGCCTCTACAACCGATGTGAGCCATTTCCCTGAAATGAATCTCTCTGTATACACACATATGTAAGTATTACCAGGTTTGTTTCTCTAGAGAACCAAGCCTAAGACCCAGGTAGACAATGCTTATCACTTCTTTACTAATTAGGAAAAAGAGGCTCAGAGAAATTCAGTAAGGGCCATACAGTAATCAGTGTTGGAGCCAGGATTTTAAAATGTTCTCTTGGCCACAAAGTTGACTCTGATGCCCTGACACTTCGTCTTTCTATGATACCATAAGATGGCCCTTCCTGTGCTTTACAACTAACTGTGGCCATTCCCCCTTCTTCCCTGCCTCAGAAATAGCCTCACAAAGGACTGATGAGACCCTCAGAGATCTCTGGAGTCCCAAGGACCAGAGTTCTGGGGACACAAGTGGCTCAATTCCAGGCAATTGTGTTGTTGTTATTGTTGTTGTGTGCCATCCAGCGATCCTGTCTAGTGTTTCCAAGAGCAACTGGTGGGTTTGAACTACTGACATTGTGGTTAGCAGTCCAGTGCTTATCCTACAGTACCACACCAGGGTCCAATCAGTTATGTTGCTGTTGTTAAATGCTGTTGAATCGGTTCTGACTCATAGCGACCCTTTATAGGGTTTCCAAGGAGCGGCTGGTGGGTTTGAATCAGTGATCTTGTGGTTAACAGCCCAGTGCTTGTCCAACAGCACTAGCTCATAAAACCCACTGAGTTCCTCTGCTAGTACCAGAGACCCAATTCCGTTCCATGGCCCAATTCCATTTAGAGATGAAGAGACTGCGATTAGGAGCTACAAACCCCCATCCCCACGGAGGTGTGGACAGAGGCAGACTTGGGGCCCCTCCCCGGCCTACCTTCATTATGAAGGTCTCCGTGAGGCTCTGCCCAGTTCTGTCGTCCGACCTCCCGGCGGTACACCACGTGTGTCCTTCCGATGGCCTCTTTCTCTTGCTGCCCCCATTCCAGAGGCTCAATGAAGTAGTCGGTGCTGTCTGTGCGGATCAGGCCAGCCTAACCAAGGATATAGTAGGGGGAGAGAGAGGAGAGGCATGAGTACACGGCAGACCCCCAGGTGAGAACTTGTGAATGTGGAGAGCCCTGGGATTCTAGGGGGAAAGTAAGGAGCCCTGGTGGTGCTGTGGATTAAGCATTAGGCTGCTAAACCACAAGGTCAGCAGTTCAAACCCACCAGCCGCTCCACAGGAGAAAGATGAGCTCTCTGCCACCACGATGGTTTAGAGTCTCAGAAGCCCTATACAGGGTACTTATGAGTCGGCATTCACTTGATGGCAGTAGGTTTGGTTTGGATTGGGATAGGGAAGTTGGGGGTGGTAGTAGGGAGACTAAGCAAGCAAAGCCAATCCACTTTTACTGTGTAATGCAATCATGAAATTCCACCTAAAGTTTCATTTAAACAAAGGGTTACACTGCTTTAAAAAGGAGGAAGACAAACACCACACAAGAGAACCACATTTCAGCCACAAGCTCTAGTACATGCTTTCTCCTTACCTACAGGTCAAGGAGGGAAATCCTAGCAGCAAAGGTTAATTATTCCTGATGTGGGTGCTGGTGTCTCACTGCAACACACAGTGCTATTAATTTGGCAGTGAACACTCTTACGTGTGTGTGTGTCTGCATGTGCACGTGGACACACGCACATGAACGTTGCATTCACAAGTACTCACCCCACGGAGAGGCATAAAACGTTCCCCAACAATCAACCAGCCAAAGATCACAGCAGGACTGCGTGTTGTTGTTAAGACCCGTTGAGTCAGTTTCAACTCACAGTGACCCTGATTAGGGTTTCCAAGGTTATAAATCTTTGTGAAAGTAAAAAGCCTCATCATTCTCCTGTTTTTAATCTAATTTTTTGTCAACATCAATATATTTCCTTTTTTATTTTGGAAAAAAAAAAAAAAAAGCAGGTTTTGGCTTTGAAAAACAAATATTAAAAGTATAACCCTGGTCAAGCCGGCATGTGTGTAATCAGCGCCCAGTGAGGGAAGCAATCACAGGGGTCAATTAAGTACGAACATAACTAGATGTGTGGGAACCTACGCATAGCTGCACACACAAACACACAGGCCATCATCCATCTCTGTAAGCTAGTAAAACTCGCCCACCCACCACAGTGTCTGCAAAACAGCAGGCACTCAATAAATGCATGTTTGCTGCATTTGCTTACTCATTCAGCAAATATCTACTGAATGCTTGCTAAACCAGGCACTGGGAACGCAGCTGTGAACACAAGACAGGGAAAGAAGGGACCATTTTATACATCAATTGGACCTTCTCCATATGAACAGAAACTGCCTCTTTAATATACCTAATCCCACCCATTTCCCCACCTCTGCCTATTGTGAGATTCCATCTTGAAAAGCAGCCTCCACGGCCTGCTGAACATCCATCACCCTGTGACAGCCAATATTTTTTGTATCCTTTTCCATCAATGTCTGTCAAACTTCAAACACTACTTTGGATCAAAGCCAAGATGAACTGCCTTCTATGCCTCATAAACAGACCCGATCAGGACTCAAAAAACAATGTTCTAGGGGAAAACAGAAGCCTTACTGGAATGAGTTAGCCTTTTGGAGTTAGTTAGGTTTTTCCATGATCTGGGGTGTTTGTTACAGGGTCAGTACTGGTTAAGGATTGAATTGTGTCCCCCCAAGATATGTGTGGGAATTCTAACCCTGTACCTATGGATATAATCCTGTTTGGGAATAGAGTGTTCTTTTGTTAGTTAACAACAGTATAGGGTGTGTCCTAAACGTAATCAGCTTGGGGGTTATAAAAACAAACAGATAAGTGCTGTGTGAGAATCATAAGAATAAACAAGGAACACACAGGGTTACAGTCAAGGGAGAAACTGACAGGGCCAAGACCCTGGTTTGGACTTTTAACCTTAAGAACTGAGAAAAAAAGAAAATTCTGTTCCTTAAAGCCACCCACTGTGGTAGACCATAGAATTGATGCATTTGAGTGATGGTGTTGGAGAAGAATATTAAAAGTACCAGGGACTTGCAGAAAAACAAACAAATCTGTGTTGGAAGAAGTATAATAGTCAGAGTGCTCCTTAGATGTCAAGATGGCCAGACTTCATCTCTCATACTTCAGACCTATTATTAGGAGGCACCAGGAAACGGATATCATGCTTGGTAAAGTGGAGGGTCAGTGCAGAAGAGAAAAACCCCCAATGGATGGGCACAGTGGCAGCAGCAGTGGGCTCAAGCTTAATGATTGTGAGGTTGGTACAGGACTGGGCAGTGTTTTGTTCTGTTGTGCACCAGGTTGCTATGAGTCAGAACCTACTCAAAGACACCTAACAACAACAGCTGTGGTATTTGTTTGACAGTATCACTAAGACATGAAGACATGTCAAAAGTTATATTTAGCACACCTGCCGTCATCCATTTGAAATATTTTTCAAAGGTCCTGATGGCACTGTAGGTTAGGCATTGGGCTGCTAACCATAAGGTGGGTGATTCAAATCCACCAGCCACTCTGTGGGAGAAAGATAAGACTGTCTGTTTCCATAAAGATTTAGAGTTCCAGAAACCCTATTGCTCAATTCTATTCTGTTCTATAGCATTGCTATGAGTCAGAATGACAGTGGGTTTGTTTTGGGGGGTTCATGTGCCCTGAGTTAAGAAAGAGACCGATAAATCAGGCCCAGCCATTGGCTGTGAGTAAGCACACTGTCTGGAGGGTGGGCCAAGAGAGGAGAGGTTAGCCAAACGCATGCTTGGGACAGAGGTGGGGCATGGACAAGGGGCTGAGGGGAGGCAGGATATAGCTTACAGAAAAGGGGGCAGACATGAAGTTTGCAAGGGACAGAAATTCAACTCAAACTACCTTGGCCCAAAGGGATATGAACTGGCCTCAGTTGAAAGTGAGCAATCCAAATCTCCTCAGCTCCCTTTCAGCATTATCTCAGTCTTCCAGGTACACCTCTGCCCCTAGAGATGAGCAGCCTTTCCTTCCCTGGTCCTACCTGCAGAAGCCCCAGCTTAGGACTGGTACCCCTGCTAGACTCCCACAACCAGAGGAAAAGCAATGACTACACTGGAAGAAGTTGGAACACAAAACCACCGGAAATGGGGTGGGCACACCTAGAGGAGGAACAGCCTAGGCCAGAGTTCAGAAGCATGAAGACCAGGGAGGTAGGAGGGTCCATCGGAACCTGGACAATGGGTCACGGCCAAATCCAAGGGCTTCTGCCCCTGAGGAGCAACAAACAGAGCCACCTGCACAAAGCCAGTCTGTCTCCCCAAGTAGATGAGAGACACAGGACAGGCATGGCCAGCTTGTGGCCTCCAGGCTCCGAGCAGAGTCCTACCGCAGCTGCACGCCTGGTTGTGCAGTGTCTCTGCTCTGTTAGCATGAGAGTCTGTGAAGCCCCCCTCAGACAAGCTCCCCCCCGCCCCCCGACAACTCCCTCCATCCTTTTTTCCACACTCCTGCCTGGTATCAGGAGGGCTTCTGTCCTGTTCAAGCATCCTCTGGCAAGCAAAGTGCGAGAGACCCACATAGTCTGAGTCTGAAGACCTCTGCTTCATCCAACCACAGCTATACCAACCCAGGCTTGACAAGGTCCTCCCTCTCTCTGGGACCCAGTTAACCAAATAAATGCACAATGAGGACCCTTCAAAATCTGGTACTCCCAGCTCCACTGCCTGAAATATCAGCATGGCCGCCAAGTCCCAGTGCCTCATATACGCTTCCAAAACTATCTGGATGGGGTTAGGGCTGGACTTCAAGCCAATGCCTTACAGATCACACTCATGGGCCCTTGAATACCATCATGCCTGCCCGAGTCTTGAGCTTTACTGCTTCAGCAACGTCTCCAATTGGGAGTCTTAAAGGTCCTGGTGTGGTGCTGTAGGATAAGCACTGGGCTGTTAACCACAAGATGGGCAGTTCAAACTTACCAGCCGCTCCTCGGAAACAGGAACACTATGAGTCAGAATTGACTCGATGGCACTTAACAACTTTTACTGGCGTGCTTTCAGTTACAGAGAGCCCCATCCCTCAAGCTCTAACCTGTTCTAGAGGATTCAAAGACCATCAAGAAGGAAGAGCATGAGCGGTACGTGGGATCCTAATCACAGAAGCAGAGACACCAGAGACAGAGGCAAAGGTGATGGCATGGAGAGAGAGAGCAGCTGAGGACTGAAAAGAGAAAGGCTGTGTGCTAGTGGGCAGGAGACTGACTTGCAAAATGTGCCCCTTGGCTGTTTAAACAATTATATATTCTTGCATGTTTTTGTGTACATCAAAAAAACAAAGTGGGAATAGAGGCAAATACTGTTAACCGATGGTGCATGGAGGGGATTATAATCATTGTAATGACACAAAATATGATTGGTTGAGTGCAAAACTGATGTCCTGCCCTGTAAACAATCACTCAATTCAAAAAAGCGTTATTAAAAACAGATCTAACCTGTTCTATGTAAACATGTCCTGAACATTTTACTCAGCTGATATCTCACATTCCAATATTCCTTTATAAACAGTGTTATTATTAATAATAGTACCTGCCATTTGTATTTATATATATATATTGTCTTATTTCACCTTTCTAACAACTCTTTGATGTAGGCACAATTTTTAGGCCCATTTCATGGATGAAAAAACAAAGGCTGCGAATGGTTAACTAACTCACCAAAAGACACACTCAGCCATAGATCATAAGCCCAGTTCTGTATGGCTTTTAACCACCCTGCTACATTCACCTTGAGTTACCCATGGGGTCTTCTTCTGCCTTGGGGACCAGGTGGCGGGAGGTCCCTCCATGATCCCATCTTCAAATCCCTCGGTCCCTAGTCTGCTGTGACCACACAGATCAAGCAGGAGGTTCACTCTCTACCATTGTGCAAAACCGTCCCAGAGTGGTTAGCCCACCTCCTACTACGGGAGATGAGAACAGAAGTGACACTTTAGACCATAAAAGGAATTGATGTCTTCCACTCCTTAGATGATGCCCCTTCCCCTACTTTGTCCTGCAGCCT